GCCTAGAACCAGAATTTCAAAGTCAGTGTTATTTGAGAAACTAATCCTGTAGTGAAGTTGGGTGTTACATTTCTGCCTTTTCGCTCTTTAAAACTCTTGCCTTGAGCTCTGGTCACTAAGCTCAGAACCAAAGAAATGGGTTGGAGCTTTAACTTAAGTAGTGGAAACTCAACTGAATGATAATTAATAATAATGCACCAAATATCCATTTCTTCCCATAGATCACAACTTCCTAATAATGAAGATTTCAGTCAGTTTAACCTGATCTCTTAGGTTCTCCTAGACTTGGCCAAATCCATGAAGTCCAGAAATACTTGAGCTAGTTCCAGTGCCCAAACCATTCTAGCTACAGAAGTAAGGAGCAATTTTTGAGCAAGGAGCAATTTTCAGAGTAGATTAACTCTTTCAGATCTTAGTGCAAGACTCTTTCTAAATTCCAAAGTATCAGGCAACACTACAACATCCTACAGCATGTCAGGAAGACATACCCGTACCTTTCCTCTGCTTTGGTGCTTGGGATATTGGCTTTGCGTCTCATCAATGAGCTTTCACCTGTCAGTTACAGGAAACATTTTGTAAACTGAGTGAAGAGAAAATAGGATTTTTCCACCACACTCAGTTCACTAATCATAATCTGATCTACTAGAAGCCAGTAGTCTGATGATTTCTGTTAGGCTTTTGTGCTGCTGTGTATATTTGAAAACAAATATATAGTGTTTGCAGAAGTTGTTACCAAAAAAAGGTAGCTGACGCATAGATAGTCCTTAAACATATTCTCCAAACACCTCTGCATTTTCTGAACTTCCCTCAAGATTTTTGTTGCCTGGTACATTTATAATCTAGAAATTAAATTAAGTTTTAAAAAGATAAGTAAATAAATCAGTGTCTCTTACTATAATTCCAGATCACAATCCATGCTCTTGCAGATGCATGTGTTAGGAAACATTTTGTCCCTCCTAGCCAAACACCTCCTCCCATAGCTAACAAACATCAATTTCATTTCATCCACTTTTGTAACTAAATCGCACACCTTGCCTCCACAGCGAATACTATCAAGGGCCCTTGCCAGTAAAAGGTTGCAGACTTTTTTATATTTCAGAAAGCACTAATTCTGATGAAAAACTGATTGGTATTGGATGACATACACCTAGCACCCAACAACCAAGACACGCAGACTCACAAGACCCTTTTGAAACTCAGGAAGAGAAAGGCATGACAACAAAGAGAGACAGAAAGTGAAAGAAGATAAGATAAACAATTATTAGTGTAATTTGTAAGAGACAAAGTCATCATGGGACTCCTCAGTCTAAGGAAATTCTGTATTTAAAAGAGTGAACCTCTCAAAGCACTTTCAGCAGTCACATTTTTACTACCACTAGGCTTCCTGGACGGTCATTTTATACCATCGTTCATCACTGGAAAATATGGTCTGATGTGCAAGCAATAAAACATCGACCAAAATCCCATAAAATAAGGACTTGTTTCAACACATGAGAACTTTTTTACGGTACTGTAAAAGGCTTGAGCAAATTTTAGTCCGCTTCTGAAAAGACTCATTATTTATCCAAAGGGGTGCCTTCTGCCTGAGCGCTGGACCACACTGTGAGGGGTTCTCCTTTCAGGAGTTCCTCACAGTGCTCCTCCCATGGTCCTTTCAGTGTGCCTTCATCCCTTGCTGCCTCATTTCTCCTCTGCGAGACACAGAGTCACAGGGCTGCAAAGTGTATTTTGCTCTGTTTCATGCGCTTCCCTGCTAAAAAGCAGCCAGTAAGGGGTTAAGCTGAAAGCACCACACTGCTGCCTCCCAGGCTGAAGGATTGATTTGATCATTCTTCAGGGATTCCCTCTTGTATGAGTCACTGCTCAGACAGACTCCCCACGCATGGAGGCCAGGATAATGCCATTCCTCCAGAGACTACAACAGCTGAGGGCTAGCCCTGAAGACGGAGAGCTTGGGACTCATGCTTGGAAAAACATTCAGCGGACCACAAAGCACTAGGCAGACTTAAAGAAATTATTCAGACAGAAGGGGAAAAAAAAAAAAGGGCAAACAAAAAGCGTTCTCAAACTCTTTGCGTTAACCAATTAAGTATGCAGACTAGCATGAATTAGACAAGCTCCCAGAGACTGCCTTCCGGCTTGGGGACTCTGCCCGAGTGAGGACTGAAGACATGAGCTCATGCAGTATAATATTTAAATTTTATATAAAAGATACGTTCTCTTTATGAGTGCAATGATTCCTGTGATCTATTACTTTGTAATAGCTGCATTTGGCTGCTACATACTGGGAACGTGATTAACATTTTGAATTCAAAAACAAAAGTGGTAACAGCAGCAAAACTAATGAATGTCTCCAGCTAATCTCAAAAGTTCATAACCAGCTTTCTAAGAGAAAGAGAAACTATGCTGGTGTTCCCTCTCTTGACCTACTTTCATAAATGTGCAAGAGCTGAAAGGGAAAG